AGAATAATTAGTTTATTTAGCAGTATCTGCTTTATCTTCACCCTGGCCAGTTGGAATTTCAACCTCAGCTGCACGTGAAGTTCTCAGCTTTGAAGAGCAGGATTGTGCATTTGAGGCTGACCTCTTTTTATGGCATTGTCGCAAATATGGCACTTGTGGGGGTTGCTACCGAAGTGAATTAATGACCAGGAATGGCTCTAATGCCTTTCTCCTCTTGCAAAACAGCCCTCAGGCACAGAGGACTGTCCCTGCAAAAGCTGGATTTCTTCCTGAAGCATTGCTGCTCAGGATGTTTAGGTGGTTTGTAGCCAAGGTACCAGCACGTGTGATCTGGGAGATGTCCTTGGACCAATCCATCCTTTTAAGCTCCTCTTTGCCAGGTCCTGTTCACCTTCTGCTAACACCTGGAGACACATCCACGAGGGAAGTTCAGCACCAAGAGTGGAGGACTAGATGAAGATCATGTAACATCTGGTTGTGCTGCTTCTAAATTACAGAATGATTAGGGATGGGTGATTTTCCAGGGCAGGTTAGCTGCTCTATGCTTGCCTAAACCCTATCAAATACGCTTCCTGAAATGTAGTATTTCCTTCCATCCATGAATTCTTGCAGTTTTAAAATTGACCAGGATCGGTCAGAAGATGACCCCTCTCGTGAGATCTGTTGGTTAGGGCAGTTTTTCAGGGATTGGGAAGTGCAGAACAGTAAATGGCTCTGCTGCTCCCCTCCCTGCCCTCTCCTGTCTGTGTGGCTCTGGCATTGTGCAGCACCTGCTTTGGTGACTCTTTTGTCACATCTATTTTTTGAAAACAAACCAGGTATTTTGCTTCAGAAACATAAAGTGTAACTCTCCAGGGCTGGCCTTTTTGAAGAATGGCTTCAGACAGAAACGGCCTTTCTAAATGATAGGTTTAAAATTACCCTGCCATTATACAACAGCTTGGCCCTTCTCCAGAAAACTGAAGACGTTTGGAACCTTTTCCACTGAAACGATAATTGCCCAATGAAAACAGGATTTGGGGAAACATAAACTGACATCAAGCTACTCCTTTTTGCTATAAATTATATTGACTCTGCACTATTGCAAAATTACTTGTGATGATTTGACCATGGAAGAATGCAGTGAAAGACTACTTATTACCACACTCCCATGTGCAGGGAAATTGCAATACATCCACTCAAATCCGAGCTTAGACGAGACTTTCCACTGACTTCAAACAGCTCTGCCTTTCGTCCTCAGAGCTGCACAGGCCTCTATTAAAATATCTTTAAGGTTCTCTTAACAACCAGGTGTTTCCTTTGTGTGGCAGGATGGAAGTCACTTTTTTCTTCTTCCACCAAATTTTCAATATGTGGTTTGTTTACTCCGAGCTGCCTTGAAGGCAGTGACGGACAGGAACGAAAAACTCCCAAGTCTGACTCTGAAAAAGAAACAGATATTTGTGCAAAGTGTGTCATTTTCCCCCATGAAACTCCCTGTTGCAGGATCCAGTGGAGTTTACTGGTATACTGGAAATCATTTAGGAAATTTTTAAGATCTAAATCAGCAAATGGATGTGTGTGTGTAAAGAGATAAACAGACGTGGAGAGGTTTGGGAGAACATGCTTAATGCCCAGTGGATACTGTCTGGGAGCACTGGAAGTGCCCAAGTGAATCTAAAAAACCAACTTTCCCATGGACTGTGAGCGACTCCTTTGTTTGGCTCGGTTTGCCCACCTTCTTTATCCTACAGGGTGGAAAGGCTTGTGTTTTCCTCTGTGTAAGAGAGTCAAAGATGGACGTTACTCGGGGAGCCTGTTGGGCTGGTAAAAGTGAACTGTCAGGGCACTGACAGCGTATGAATGGAGTTACCTTGGAGATGCAACACAAGACCAACAACCAGACACTGAGGTTTTAATGAATGCCTGCCAAGCGAGGCAGAACGTGTGAAAACAGCGTGGCTGGTCCTTGGAACAAAGGACCGAGGTGCTGGGATGCTGAAGGAACTCAGAGAGGAGGAGGAGGAGGAGGAGGAGGAGGAGTGGTGTAGGGGCCACACCTGAAGTCCCTCTGGGGCTCTGAGCCCAGAGGAGCTGTTTGGAAACATTTATTTCTGTGTGCAGTCACTCAGGAAACCATTGGCAGGCCCATGAAAAGGGGCAGCCTTTGAGTGTTGGGTTGTGCCTGATAAGGGTGTCGATAGCCTGCTGGGAGCATTCACAGAGAGCAAAACCAGTTAATTGACAAGAGTAAGGGATTTTGATTATACATAAACAACCCAACTTACAGCTAACAGCAAGAGCTGATTTCCAGCCCTCTTCTGAAATGAATTCTCTGTCCAACCAGTGTCTTACAGTATAAACTCCCAAATGCATCCTGGACTGACTGCACAGCACCTCTTTACACAGTGACCTTGTGGAAGGCCAATATCTGTTTATACAAAGAAAAATACTTGAAATGTGGGGTTTGTTGTCTTTTTGTTTTTATGTAATTGCTTCCTATCGCTCTACCTTGAGGGTGATTTTTTTCCCCCATAGTTATAGAGTTGTCTTCAGCTGATGTTCAGTGACTGATCTGTAGTGTTTGTTAGGGCCTTGGAGCTGAGGCTGTGACTGACTCCTGTCAAGGGAAACCACTCATACTTGAGGCAGCTGGGGGTTTGTTTCCTCCATCAGGCATGGAAAGGGGTGGAGTGGGAGTCCCTGGCTGCCTTCCCCTGTATCAGATCCCACTCTGTGCCAGGTCAGATGACCTTAGAGCTGGAGCTCTTGTCTCGAGTCCCTGAACCTTGTGTTACCATCCAACCATCCCTTGCTGAGTGCTGAAGCCACACAAATTGTTTGGTCGTGGGCTTGGGTGGACACGAGGACTCCCATTACAGAAAGGTCTGGCAGGTCAATCTAGCTTGCTGATGAGTGACATCAAAGAGGTGCCCTCAACACCAAAGTGATTTCCATGGCAGCTCAGAGAAAGGTTTGAAAAACAGTTTGCCTCATGAGGGGATAATTGCCAGTGTTTGCATTTAACAGCCCGGAATGCCTAAAGTTATTGGTGCCTATGGGAGGAGGAGTGTTTGCTGTATCCGTGTGTTTTCCTGGGTGGATGAGAGCATTCCTGCCAGCAGGGAATTCAGCCTCGTGGGGGTAAGGCCGAAGGGTGTCTGCCTGTCTGGCCATCAGCATGCTGGAGCCTTACCAGACACTGGGACCTGACAGATACACTCTGCTGCACGAACACTGTTAATGGTGTTGCCAAATTTAACTTCCAGCCATCCCTCCCAAAGCTGTTTCTCATTAGCTGTCCCAGCTGTGTCACTGCTGCTGACGGGAACTGGCCTCCACAACCTGCTCTGTAAACACACTTTCCAGAGCTCGGCTTGGACAATGGCTGTGGCTCTGCTGCTGTGAGTCCCCCCGGGCTGGATCTGGGTCTGTCCCTAGGAAAGGATTACGAAACAGAAGGCTCATATCATCCCTGTTTGTTTATGGTGGTTTCAGGAAATGTGGGAGCAGCGTTGCAGAGAGGATCTTTCCATTGAAGCCTGGGGATTCTCTTGTAGAGAACCTGTCTGCTCTGCACTGCAGTAGCACTGATCTTAGTCCAGAAACAATTCGGGTGTTTTTGGCTGCGCTTTGGAGGAATTCATTCAGTCTGATGGCATTTCAGAGAGGAAAAACAAAAGTATCTAGGAGCCTGAGGTTTGAGAATTTGGCTGTTGCGTGCTGGGTGGAATTCTGAATGGAAAAATAGTGTGGATTTCTGCTATGCAGAGCCAGTTGTCCAGACCTATTGCGCTACCTCGTGTCAATTATATACTACATAAAAACTACAGGATGTCTGCCACTAAATGCTCCTATTCAGTTGCTTTTCATAGGTTCAGGATTGCCTGTAACCCAAGACAGAAATAAACACGTATGCTGAATTGTTTTGAATTCATTTCCATTAGCAGTATTAGCTACCTGTATTGCAAGGGCTTTAGGCAATTTTAATAATGTGATAAAAAAGCCGTGCTCTCGTAAGTCAGGAGGTTGTAAGGCAAAGTCAAGGCTTAGGGTAAGTACAGGAGAGGAGCAGGCAGCTGAATGGGTGGTGTAGAGCAAAGCTGAAGGAGCCTGTAGTGTTCTGTTTTAAGTGCCTGTTGAGCCCATGATTGTAAAAGGAGGGGAAATCTTGAAGCAGAAGAAGTTGAAGATGAATAAATAAACTTGAATGCTCTTCTGTCTCCTGGCTCCCATCTGTAATTCACCCAAGCCTGTGCTGGAGAGGTGTGGCACACATCTAAGTGGAACTCGCTGACATTCATCAACTAGCCAGGATGTGGCAGGTCCCTGGCTCCAGCATCCCGGGGCACCGGGCTCTTCCCAAGGATGTTAACCCTGCTGTGGGCAGGCCAGCAGGGACAGCACTGCCTGCTGGGCTCTGGTCAGCACAGCTGCCTGGGGAAGACAGGGAGCTCAGGCTGTGAATCTCTCCACCACCACATCATCAAATCCCATTTCTCTTGGCGCTGGCCTGTTGGACGCTTTGCCTTTTTGTTTGGCTGGTGGAAATCCTGAGAGCGAGTGGGTCATCAGGCTCTTTGTATTGTTGTTGTCACTCAGGAAAGATTTGCTTACTAGTGATTGCCTATTTACTTATTTTAATTAAATTCAAATGGTGGTTTTAGACGCTGAGGCTGCCTGAGCCTGTGTTTTGGGAAAGCCCATTGATGCAAATAACCTGTGTTTATGAAAAGCTGAAAAGTGTGACAAGTACGGTAAATTTTGCAAGGAGCCTGGCTGGGAGGAGATGCTCTTGTCCTTCCTGCCAGGTTGTCTGCACTGCTGGGATCAGAGTGGTGAATCACAGCAGTGTGCAGGAAGCACAGCAGTGGTTTTTTTTCTGTTCATACGGAGATGGCCAGTGTGGGTCCCACGGGGAGGATGAGTGCAGCACTGCTGTTTGCCAGCTCGTGTTTGCATGAAGTGCTGGGGGAAGGACCTGATGCAAAACCCCTGACCAGACCTGTGTCCCCTTGCAGAGATGCCCTGGATGCTGCCAGCGTGCTCTATAATCGGGTCGATGAGGGCGTTCACCGGCTGGTGATGCTGTCAAACAAGCGCATCCAGGAGCTGGAGCTGGTGATGGAGTTCGAGAAAGTGGAAGAGTGTTTTAAGGAGGTAAGGCCTGCCTGTCCTTTCAAACAGTGCCTGCCTGCTGCTGCCCTCGGGCACTGTGCCCCACAGCAGGAGCTGGGCCTGTTGATCCCTTGTGTGGAGGTGGACAGTGATGCCTGGAGACGCTCCTCCTCTGGAGGGAAGTGGATTTGCAAAGGAGCCCGTAGCCTCCCTGTTGTTTTCACAGGCCAAGGTGGATCCAGGAGTTTTAATGACTTCCCATTTGGAGGTAGACACTGGGGCGCCGTGTGCTGTGTGCTCAGGATGAGAGGTGTGATGCAAGAACCTGGTAGAGACTCTCCTAGAAGCGTACAGGTTCCTGATACCAAGCAGAAATACAAAAAAAAAAGCACAAAAGCAGGCTCTGCAACTTGTCCCTGCTTTAAGTTGAACTTTTTTTTATTGTTCAGTTGAGCAACACTGACTGTTCCCAGCTTACTTTCCTTGCAGATCACTAATGATGGTGGCAGCTGCTCCCCCTTTTAAGCCTGCCTGGGAGCCCTGGGCAGCAGCAGCGTGTCCCTCTGCAGTACTGAGAACCCACCCCCCTCTCCTCTTGCCAGTGGGCTTGTTCTGTGGCTACAAGACTGGGAGTTTGCCCTTGACTGTGTGGTTGAGTTGGGGTATGGATTTAGATGATGCAGGAAAACAGGATGCATGGGCGTTAGGAAACACTTAGTGGGTGTTAGGAAACACTGAAGTCTCTCCCTTCCCCCAGGTGCAGCTCTGCCTGGAGCATTGCAGACAAGTTCACCAGCCTGTTTTTAAAACCCACTGATGATGGAGATGCTGTGTTATCCTGCCTGACCTCCTGGGACTGCTTTGCTTTTAGGAGGGTCTTTGTTAGTCAGTCCTCTAGCCCTGTTTGAGGATATAAGGCTGATAAGAGCAGCAGTGGCCACACTCCATCAAGGAACCTGCAGTTGCTGCTCAGGTTTGTGGAGAGCTGCCTTCAGAAAACCAGTATGTGAGAGCCCCAGAGAACTGTGAAACACTGCAGGTGGAGAGAGTCCATCAGTACACCCCCAGTGACACAGTTCATGTGCTGCCAGCCAGAGAAAGGAAGTGATGTAGAAACCTGGCAGCAGGGAGATTCGATCCCAGCTGGGGGTAACAATAATAGGAGTGTCAGGCCAGTCTGCAGGTTCAGAGCTCACATTAGACCATGGCTCACCTGAAACAGAGCCCAGGCAGCCGCTTGCCCTGTTTATGCCTAAGGCTGGTGAGCAACAGCAGAGCTTTGCAATTACTCTGTAACCTGAAGTGGAAAAACTCCTAGCAGGAGGCTCAGACTGAAATGCTTGCATGGGGGGAGCAGTCTACACACACATTCTTTCCAGTAATGACATGACCAGCGTTATGAGAGCAGTTCCTTGCTCTTTCCACATAAAGGCCCACGTTGGTGAGTAGCACAGGGTGACTAATAACGGGGCTTATCCCTTTTCTCCTAGGTCAGCAGTTGGATTGAGAATGTTGGCAGAAAAGGGCTAAAGGGAACCGTCAACCTGGATGATTCTTTGGAGATGCTGCTTCAAGCGCAAAAGCAGTTCAAGGAGTTTGATCTTGTTGCCAGTGTAAGTGTTGTCTGATTGGAAAAATGTATTCTCCACGTCTAAGTTGGTAGTGTGAGTGTCTTGTGTGTGCTCAGCCAAACCCACGGTGCTGAGAGGGCTCATCACCGAGGTGTGTGTCATTCCTTCACACTGCTCAGCATCCCTGCTCTCCTCGTGGAGGAAAAGCCACCAGCTCAACAGCTTAGTAGATGGCATTTGCCAGTCTTGGGGAAAATAACTAGCGGGATGGAAGATGGATTTTTTTTGTTACTCCCTTGATGTGGTTGTAACACTGCCTTTGTTGATCCTAATTCACCCGTGCCTTGCTGTGTAGACCTTTAAAAGCTGCTCTGTGACTGCTGTAGTTCACAAGAGATCAGGGCTCTAGAATTCTGCTGTAAACAAAGACACCCCTGCTCATGTGATTTGAACCTTAAAACCCCATCTAATTAGCCCGAGTTGTTAATGACCTTGAAGACTACGTGCTGTCCGTGCCGGGTCCTCACGTGCAATCCCATTTTGTTTTCAGGAATACTGCAAAAGGGGACAGGAAGCATTAAAGAAGATGGATCGATGGGAAGACTTTTCCTCTGTGGATGTGCATTCTTACAGGGTGAAGCTGCAGACCTACAGAGATCAGCTGGAGGAGTTCTGCACTCAGCTGGATGAAACCAGGCACCGAATCTCTGAAACGGTCAGGCTGTATGAATTCTTTGACAAGGTAAGACAAGGCATCTGCTGCACAGAGGAGGGTGTAAAAAGCCTGCTTGGACTCAGTCCAGAGCTGGGTTTTGTATGAAAGGTGTGAAATGGAGTGTTTGCTCCAATAGGGAGCTGGATCTGTAACCTGCAACAGTTCCCTCACGCTCGTGTGTCAGCAGTGATTTTTTTCAAGTCAGTGTGTGGAAGAAGGGGAGGGGATGTGTTTCAGAACATGCCCACATCTGTTAAATGCAGAGGTTTGCTGCTGTCTGAGCTGGAGCTTTTAGACCCCTTTCATGGCCCCAGTGGACAGAAGGATCATGGCAGTGTTGACAAGGGCCAGAAGATTGGCTGGTCACGTCCTGTCCTGGCCACCATACCAGAGTGGACTGCCTGCATTTGTTCACACTGCATCCTTGCACACTGGAAAATTCAGGATGAGCTCCCTGCTCTTCAATCCTGAATACATCCCATCTCCTCCCCTGTGGAGCCCTGCTTGAGGAGATGGAATACCAGGATTGGGGGGTGCTGGGAAGTGTGGCTGAGGGAACAAGGGGACTGGGTCATCCCAGGCATCTGGGAGGCAGGAGGAGAGAAGGCGTGTTGGTGACTGACTGACCTCACCAGTTTGGTTCAATGCAAACGTTCAGCAGACCTGCAGTTGGGTTTGATGTTCTTTAATTTTCTAAAGTTGCAGATGAATAAGCAGTAGGATTTTCTAAGTGCATTTTAAAATACAGCTTTGGCAAGTACAGAAGGGCAAGGGAGCCTGTGCTTCATTTATTCCACACTTGTACAAACATTGGGTATTGAAGTTCTCAAATTCCAGAAAGAATAGACACTAAAAGTTAAGCTGTACCAGATGGAGGTGCCACTTAGTTGCTGTCTCTGAGCTGCCTTGGCAGCCAGAAGTGCTCAGGGGAGGGGGGAGGAAATTCAGCTAAACATGAAAACATGGAGAAGCGTCCTGTGTGAGGCAGGAAAGTGGAGAAGGCAGCCTGGAACACTGATCACTGATCAGGGCATGTGAGGATCGAGTTTGTTTGGTGATGCTCTGCAGGTCTGCTCTGGCTCATCCCTGCAGTTTGCTGTGCAGGTGGGGGACTGTCTCGCTGTGGGAATGTAAAATGTAATTTTTTTCCCCCTGAATGGAAAGAAAAGTGCTTCCTGTGCCATAGCAGAATGGCAAGAACCTGTGCTCTGCTGACAGCTCTTGGGCAGCCAGGGTGGTTGGACATGCCTCAAGAGCAACGTGTTCCTCTGCAGCTTCAAAGCCTTTCAGAAAGCCTGGGCCATTCCTAGGGGCACAAATGCTACACAGACCCCAAAAGTGGCCCTTTTCTTTCCTGAGAGCGTGACAGCTTCTCTTTGGTGGATGAAAGCCGTGGGATGCAGTCCTTGGCAGTGACAGCCCCACTCTTGGTTGTGCCTTTCATGCTGCACTGCCCCAGTGAAAACGGAATGGTAGTGGCATGGTGTGTTTGCACACTGCTTTGGTGTGGAGGAGGGGCAGCTGGCTCAGGGAGGAAGGAGGATTTTGATCTCATGGTTTCAGTAGAACCATAAACAATGCTGGTGTTATAAATACACCGTGTGTGAACCGCCGGCCAACCGAAACCAGGAGTGTAGTGGGGCACATCCTGCAGGTGTAGGACCAGGGCAGGGATTGCTGGGCACTATGAAGGTTCTTTCAGTATGATTTGGATCTCCAGAATGCTTCCTGCCTTCCCAAAGCAAAGTCAGTGGCGTGGTCTGGGAGGTGAGGGGGGGTAAGCAGATTTTTATCTGAACTGATTCCACTCTTTTCTGATGATGAGCTGCTTTGACCTTCCTGCAGTGATCTTGTCAGTGCCTGCCTAGCTCCCTTCTCTCTTCCCCAGTATCTGAGGGGATATCAACAGCAGGAGCCTACAATAAGCAACGTCCTTGATTTTCCTTCTTGTAAGGAACCCGCCGTGTGCCAAGCCCCGGGATTTGGGGAAGGAGCCGGAGGATGCGTAAGCAATGTACACTGTGGTAACGAGCTGGCAGGCTCAGCTCTCCCAACATCTCAGCACACACCAAGGGAGCGGAGCTCCCACCCCGGGGATCGTGGCATTCATCCCTCACCCACCTCACTGCCTCCTGGGAGTGGCAGGCTCTGCTGTGCCCACCCTTGTGCGGGTGGTGGGCGAGTGTTTTGCGGGGGCACTGCCTGTGGCTGCCGGACGGGCCGTGGAGCAGGACAGCACAACCCCATATGGCCCATCAGGACGCTGTGCTGTGTTTTTTCACCGCTTGGCAGTTCCTGCAGGCCTGTCAGAGCTCCCTGCGAGGAGGCAGGCTGAGCTGGGCCAGACCACATGGAGCTTACACATGGGCTGGCAGGGTTCCCTCCCCAGAGCCAGGGCTGGTGCCAAGCTGGATGTTTCCATTTGTCCTGGCTTCCTTTGCGGCAGGAGCCCCTGGTGCCTGGATGATGGCTGGGCTGAGGCAGGAGGAGCAGTGAAGGAAGCTGCTTTCCCCACCTCTGACTGGGGGCTGGAGGATTGTTTCTCAGTACCACAGACTCGGTGTGGGCATACTCGGGGAGCTGCCATCTTCCTGTGGCTTCGAGCCTGGTCTGGCTGCTGTCCCTTGTTTACTCAATTCCAAGACTGCACTGGGATCTGGCACCACACAGGGCTTTGGGGGAGAACTGGGAAGCTGAGCAAGCAAGGGTGTGTATGATGTACCAAAAGCACTGATGTCTGTTTTGTTCTGGGGTGCCTGCAAGGACAGTCCCCAGTACTCTTCTGTCCTGCTGTCTATCCTGGCTTCACAGTAACACTGCCATAGGTACACCATCAACACCAGGAGCAGCCACAGCAGCTTTCCCTCTCCTTCCTATCTCGTTAGTCTTCACATTTTTTTCCTTTCTCAAGCTTTCTTTGGGTGAAATTACTTCTCAGATCGCTCTTAATATCCCATGCTCTTGCCTTTGGCATCAGCGAAGTGCAGGTTACCTGGACGGCAGGTTTGAAATGACCCGTGCGAGCAGCACCCTACTTGCACTGTCCAGTGAGCCAGAGCACAGTCTCTGCCAGCCCTGGGATGACAGCCAGCCCTGCTGAAGGTTGGGAGCAAAGGTGCACGATCCTTGCTGGCAGAAGTCACTCTGGAAGAAAGCACTGACCCAACCAGCGAGGGCAGCGTCCCATCACACCGGCTCAGCACCTGCATACCCTGTGGGGATGTGGTGCCCAGAGCTGAACTGCCTCTGTTATTACAGGAGGGCCTGGGGCAGCTCCAGGGGCTTTTTCCTGCTTGTCAGGATGTTGTGCAAGATGGTGCTTCGTTGGTGCTCAGGGAACGTGTGGTCATTGGCCTGCCATGGCCTGGGAGCCTCTTGCAGCTTGAGCCCTTGATTGGAGGTTGCTTTCTGAGTGAAGCTGTTCAGAGTCCCACTGCTCAGGATTGGTGGAGTGAGGCTGGTTTGGAAGTGGTGAAGTGGCCCATGGTGGGATTTCTTTGGGCTCTGTTCCACAAACCATTCCTTCAGTGGTGTTCTCTGTCTGCCACCCTTGGATCTCTTCCCCCAAAGGACCCCTGACCATCAGCCTGTGCTGATTATTGTTCCTCAATCACCTTTGGCTTTTCTCTGCTGCACACAAGGAGCTGCTGCTTCTGAGCTCTGCTTGGAGTGGGCAGAATATTGCCCGACCTCCCTCCCTTCTGTGTTTTCTTCTCTCTGGGAGTGGGTTACCTGCGCTCACGTGTGGTTCTGCCCCCACAGCGGGTTCTCCTCTGCTCTCCTCCTCCTCCTCTGGCTCTCCTCCTCAGCCACTTTGTTCTTTGTGGCTTAGAAAACAAAGCCCTTGGCAAGTGAAGGAGGTGCCTGCCCTTCCTGGGGGAGGGCCAGCTGGCCTGCATTTGATTATGGCAGTGCCTCCTCATCCCTCCCCATTGTCCTTGCTGCTGTAGGAATGCCAGCCTTTTTTTGCTCCATCCCGTGAACAAGTGTTGCTGCTCTGGGGCCCAGAGAGGGGCTGGGGCCCTTCCTCTCATCCCTCTGGCCCCGCTGCAGGAGAGCCTCTCTGCACATCTCCATGCACTTCCCTCCGAGCTGCAGCCACCCCGTCCCGGCTCCGGCAGCGGACGGACACAGCGAACCCTCCTGTAAGTACCAAGTGTCTGGTGGCCCGGCTGACGTGTGAGCTGGACGGGGATTGTTTGGAGACAGCGTAGAGAAGGCTTTTCACTCGGTTGCCTGTGCGTGTCTGCGTGCATCCAGCATGAATCACATCGCTTTGTGTGCAGCTTTTGTGCGCTCAGACCGAGCCCTGGGAGCTGTGGGGGCATCTTTGAACGGTCCCTCCGAAACCCCGGGTTGTGCTGTCAGTGCCTGTCCCTGTTTTCTCTTCGTTAGAGGTTGTTGCACGATCGTTTTGATGATCATTTCCCTGCAGCTGGAAGTTGCTGTGGGGGCTGCAGGCGAGTGGGATGCGCGGGCAGGGCAGGTGGTACCGCTCAGCCTGCCCGAATCTCCGTCAGACGTTGTGGACAGCACAGGAGGGGCTGCTCTCCCGAACTGCTCCGAGGTTTGCTGGGTTGCTGCCCCTCGAGTGAGTGGGACCTGCTGGCACAGCGTTCCCAGGTGCCAGAGCTGGATCTGATCTTGGCTGTGAGAGCAGAAATCCAGAGCATGATGAATAAGCTGCCTTCCCCAGATGCCCTCACCTCTCACTTCTCCCCAGAAGTTTCAGAACAGAGACCTGCTGGTACTTTGTCTTCTGCGGTTTCATTTCTGATGATGTACCAGATATAGTGTTGCAGGTGATAATTTTGAGGATAAAACCAAATCAAGTTCTCTCCAGATGATAAATCATTTATGTTTCTTTTTGCTTGGCTTTTGGGAAGAAAAGGAGGGTTGTGAATGCTGGTCTTTGGATAGCCAGAAAAGATCCCGGTGGCTGCAAACTAAAAAGGCTGATTTTTCTATAGCAGGCTGTTTGGCACAGTTTGAGAGGTACTTTTACTGAAAGGGTGTGCTAGGATTAC